TGAGAAAGTAGAATGATTTGAATATAAAACTTAATTGAAAATTTTGTGAAATTTTTGAGGTTAAAGTGTAATTTTTTAGAATTACATATGCCACACAATTGGTGTCGCGTAAGCATGCCATGAGATTCCGTTAAAAAAACTAACGATAGTTTTTTAGGTGGATGAATTTGAAATGATTTTCAAAATTTATGAATGATTTTAAAAGAAACTAAACTTTCTAAACTAAAATGAAAAAAGAGAAATAATTAGTAGATAAAAAATTAAATTTAACCTGAATTAGATGATAAGGTGTTCAAATTTAAAGAGTTGTCATTCTCTTATTCTGTTATTGGATGCCCTGTTGTGTGGTATACTTTATTGATATGAATATGAGTACGGGTGGATGAGGTTATTGTCACTAGACTTTGTAAAAAATATTAATTTTAATTATAATTTTTTAATTTATAATTTTCTCTTAAATAGTTAATTATGTTATTTTAAAATATTTATTTATAAATTAGTTTTATTTTAATTTGAAAGCTTTGATTTATAATTGTAGATGTTAGTTTATTGATCTTTTAATATTTAAAAATATATAAAATAAAAAAAATTAATAATAATGAGTTGTTTTAAAAATCTAAATATAATTTATATAATTTGTTATTTATTTATAATACATTTATCTTAAGACCTACAATTAAATTATGTAAAAAAAAATAATAATAAATTCTTATGTCTTCTACGTCATTTTTTCAATATCCAATCTCACTATTTCAATGTCAATCTCTTTTAATCAATTAATTTCAACTCAATAACTTTAAAAATAGAAAAAAAAAAATTCTGTACTGATGACCCGATGCAAACAATTGCAACATTGCTCTCATCATTAAAAGTTTAAAGATAAATCGATCATTAATTTTTTGATAAAAATTAAAAATAATATTATCTCTTTTTTATATAAATTATATATTGTCATATTAACTTTTAACTTTTATATTTTGTAAGTTTATTTTATTTTATTTTAAAATTTTATCTTATACTTATTAGTAGATATATTCTAACAAAAAAATTAATATATTTTCTTTGTTTTAAAATAATTGATATTTTTTATTTAAAATTTATTTTAAAATAATAATCATTTTTTATTTTAAAGAAGATAAATAATTTGTTTGCTTTAATCATATAATTATCTCTTAATTTTAATTATTTATCTTTTGATTGAAGTAGATATTTATTCTTAATTTTTTTTAAATATAAAATAAGTAAAGATAAAAATTATTTTCAAATCCTTGGATATAATCACATAGAGAAAAGCAATAAGAAGAGAAATTAGTATAAGAGGAAAATAAATTAGTATAAAATGTAATTAATTTGTAAAAAAAATTGTTTAATTGTAAAAAGTGATAAGATGAAAACATAAGATATCATATTTCATATTTGTCAACCTCATCTATGGAGGTGGAGAATCTCTTTACCTTATTAAAAAAGATTTCACAATAAAATAAAGAATAAATTCTTTTCAAATTTTTTGATAGTTTATATTAAAAAAATAATTTAATAATTTAATATAATCTCTATTATAAATAAATTTCATGATATAAACATTTATTAAGTATTATTTTAATTTATAATATAAAAATTAATTTTTAAAATTATAATACATTATTTTAAAATTTAAAAAATTTACTCTGATTAAAATTTGAAAATTTTACTCTGATTAAAATTCCTAACTCTGTTACTGTTCCCAACCATATCTGATTTTGTAGTGGAAAACCATCACCTGTAAAATCAGATAATAGAATTACTTGTGTCTTTAGTCATTTATTTATAGTTCAGTTCTTCATTTTTACGAGTAAAGAAGAGTTAAATATTAATTTTAGTTTTTAATTTTATAATTTTGAATAATTTTTGTTTTTAACTTTTATATATGCACTTTCTTTTATTCCAATTATAAAAAATATATTTTTTAATTATTTTATTAATTAAATTTATATAAATATATATAATTTTAGTAACC